TCCCCCTTCGTACCTAAGTTCCCGAGCCGAGGCAACTTTGTGATGACAGACACGTGGCCTTTGGCACGAGTCAGGGTTTCCTAAATTTCTCCAAAAATAAAATATTTAGGTGGCGACTCTATATCTGGCAAAGCAGTCTAATTTTGATAATATTTGATTTAAAATCGATTTTCCAAAATGATTTTCCAGATTTGGACTTTTTTGGTGTTTATCAGTTTCACATTGCACTTGTAAGACTAAATTCAGAATCGCAAGAGTCCGAACTGTGAGGCCTTCTTTTCAAACCCTTTCCAAAAGGCGGGGCACGAGAAAAGGGTGAGTCCACAGTTTCTGGCGACTCTACTGGGGACTTAAAGAACTTGACTCAAATTCATGATATGTCATTTTATCTATGCTTATGTGTTTCTTTGCATTTGCATTTGCATTGGTTCGCCTAAATCACAGTGTTTGCCATCTGCTATTCTTGAACGGTTTGCCGAATGCTCGCTTGGAAAAGCTTGCCAAAAGGTTGACAGGTTGCGAGCTCTGCCACGGTGGGAACACAAACCTGGGATCTGGACTATAGCTGTGCCATTTGATCCTCCTTTCACTTCTCGGTGTTAGGAGCGAGAGGTATATTAGGTGGTCTTGCTGAGGTACCCTTTTTGACTAATCGACTTAGTTGCATATCGGAAGTCATAGAGACCATTCCAAACTAGGACAGGTTGCTCACCCGAATGCATGAATTGTTTGAAACCATTTATTTGCATAGTTATCCCTAATTCCTAACGAAATTAGGACATCGTAACCGTACCCCATCATAGGGGTGTTTTGGCTCTCACTTGCTTGATACGTGCTTTTTAGAGAGTGAAACTCTGCAGGAGTGTATGTATCAGTTGCAAGTCTGGGTATCAATTTGAGGATATCAGTTTTGGGGCAGAAATCAGTGTTTGAGTATTGTCACACCCCTAACTTGCCCCTAAAAGTTTGGGCATGACCTAAACAGAAAAGGACACTTAACCTGGTTCCATAGAGGGGCCTGCCCGGAAGCTATAAAACATAATTGATAAAAACCAGAAATTGTGACATCCATTGAGCTACTAAGTCAAGCCAGGATCAAAAACATTTCACAGTACAAGTACATCAAAAGCCAAAATACATTTAAGAGTTAGTTATTTACAGGCATATACAAAACCAACCCTGAGGTGGGGTATATAACAAAATCATTAAGTACATAACAACTTAAGCCAATAGCAAAAGTGTGAGTCATCATCTAACAACTCCACAAAAGTAGGGTCCGACCCCAAGCTTGGCTGTGCCTAGGCTGACAAAAGTATGACGATGCCGAGCTAAGATCGACCTCCTGGTTGATTACCTACAGAAACAGACATAACATAGGGTGAGCCAAGCTCAGTGAACAATAGTACTAGTATGCTTGTAGACATATTTAATGCTAAAATCATGTAATTAGTCTGTCTCTGTACGGCTTGTCGGGCTTGTTGGGACAACATAATCGGTTTATAATTGTCATAGTGTGGCCCCTGGCCTAAGAACTTCACATATTCAGAAAAGAGTCCTTGGGTTCATAATTTACAATTCATCACATAGACCTTTGGTTCTTTTTGTTCCACAAGCTTACAACAGTATAAGTTCATATTTCACACATCGGTTCCTGACCTCATAAATTCATCATTCACAATGGCCCTTGGCCACATTGGTCCACAATTCACAAATGACCCTTGGTCACGTAGTTTCACATTAGGCTCGTAGCCACATTGGTTCACAAATGGCTCTAAGCCACATTGGTTCACAAATGACTCTAATCCACATTGGTTCACAAATTCACAATTGCCTTGATACGTTTCATTAGTCACAAGCTTCCACATAAGATGTGTACAACTACACAACCTTTTTCAATGTTTCCACAATTTCGTATTGAATCACTTATAGCAAATATATCATTTCATGCCAACACAAGTTCGATAGTGAAGTTCGTAATGTCAAGATATAACGTCTATACATAATGTGATAAAACTTTCAACAAGGGTCACAACGTCAATAAAATAAATACTGAGTAGAGATACATTAAAGTACTATCACTCACTGTGTTGTGTCGGTGCACTTCCTTTTGAGGCGTTTCCTACACACATGAAAAATCACATTAGTCCCTTTTTATCCTTGTTAAATCAATATTCGGTTCACTTACTTTGATTAAATTAACGAACATTCAAACAATATAAATTGCAGGTTTTGACCACATTAGAGGACCCAACACGCAAAACGGAGCATCCCAACTTTTCTGCCTTGAGCCGCACGTGCGGCTAGGATCTCCTGCACGTGCGGCACACCTCCCGCACGTGCGGCATTGAGGCCCCGCACGTGCTTTTTTTGCAGTGTTGAAGTCCAGAATCTTGCCATTTTCCCGCACGTGCGGCAGTGACTCCCGCACATGCGGCTGAGGTTCTCGCACGTGCGGCCTTAGGCCCCGCACGTGCGGCGATTCTGCACCAAAAGTCCGAAATTTCTGCATAATTTCTTCCCCTTGTAGACATGTTTAGGGCCTCAAAATCCAGCTTTATATTACCAATTTATAAGCTCAAAGCATATGAATACATGTGAACAAGGATCAAATTACATATTTCATTTGAGTAAAAATCAAATCATGAATCCACAACTTAAATTCACTCCCATTCACAAGGTTCCTACTTGTTTTCACATCTCAATTCATAACATAAAATCTTGCCACATACTTGAATTCAAACAAATCAATTGAAGAAATAGAGTAAAGTTTCTCATAGATACTTCAAGGGTCAAAACATGCAAGGTAAGATCATCTTGCTAATTTACTACTTCTCATACTCACATCACTACAATCCCAACTCTTAAGTACATGATTATGGAAACATCTTCACATAAATTATGACAAGAAGGGTTGTGGATGCAAATTAGACAAACATTACATACCTTAAGCCCAAATCTCAACCTTCTTGAGGACCTTCTCTCTCTACCCCTTCAATTCCTAGAACATGGAACACTGCCAATATGAATGGCTGATCTATTCCTAGAACATGGAACACTGCCAATATGAAGTTTTATTTTTAGTTTTACTTTTGTAACCCTTCGCACTATTGATGTAATGAAACGAGTAGACCGTTTTCTTGGAAATTGTTGTATTTTCGTATACTTTCTTTTTGGTTTACTGCACTATGCCCCGCCAAGCAGATTTAGTGCGGTCTAAGGGGCAATTGACGATCACTCTGAGGCAAAATTGGAATTTCTTGGTGGGCTAGTTTTGTTTGGCAAGATAAAAGTTGGTGTTTTGTTCAACTATGGAATTCCTTATCGAGTTGATTTTGCTCGGCAAGATGAAAATTGATGTTTTGTTCAACTTTGGAATTCCTGCGAGAGGTTTTCAACTTTGAAATTCCTTACTGAGTGAATTTTGCTCGGCGAGAGGTTTGTTGAAGGTTTTGTTCAACTTTGTAATTCCTTACCGACCAAATTTTCTCGGCAAGGGGTTTGCTGGTTTTGGTCTTTGGAATCGCATGATGAAAGTTAGTGTTCTGTTTAACTTTGAAATTCTCGGCAAGAGGTTTTTAACTTCGAAATTCCTTACTGAGCAAATTTTACTCAGTGAGAGGTTTATTGAAAGTTTTGTTCAACTTTAGAATTCCTTGTCTAGCGGATTTTGCTCGGTGAGAGGTTTGTTGAAGATTTTTGTTCAACTTTAGAATTCCTTACCGAGTGGATTTTACTCAGCAAGAAGGAAATTCTTTGCCAAGCTAATTTTTCTCGAGAAGAAGTAAGTTGGTGGTTATTCCAATTTCAGGATTCCTTACCAAGCGGATTTTGCTCGCCAAAAAGAAAATTCCTTGCCGAGCTAATTTTGGTCGCTAAGAATGAAGTTCTTTGCCAAGCTGATTCTGCTTGCCAAGAAGGAGATTTCACATTGAGTTAATTTTGCTCCACAAAAAGTAAGTTATTGTTTTGTCCAAATTAAGTGATCCTAACCATACAGTTGGAGCACAATCTAAAGGGCAATTGATATTGCTACCCCTTGGTTAAACTTTGATTCTCATTTCCGAACCGAATTTGTTCGATGTAAATAGTTGATGACTTGTTCAGCTTTGAGAAAACCCTAATCATGCAATGGAGCATAGGCCATAGGCAATCGATACAGTTTGAATCACTACTTTGCCTTTGTAAGTTAAGGCAGGAGCCCAGATTGGGGGAGAAGTTGTAATGTCGATCTCAGGAGCTCGATATTTGCCCATGTTTGCACGGCCGTAGAGTGGATGTGCTTCTGCCTAGTGTATGGTGAATTTTAGAAGCCTTGCATAGTCTATGATTTGCTCATAGGCGAATTGTTGAATGTGTGCCTTGTCAAACCTGGTTCAAATTCTACATGGTTGAAGATTGAGCTTAGTTACGTTTTAAAGCCCAAATTTTGAAAAAGGTTGTCGCTGAGTAGTGTGAAAGGCAATAGAATGTTGGCCACACAAATCAAGAGTCAAGTCTGGTCATATTGGACTCTAGAATTTTTGTTCAGAGTTTAAGAAGTGCAATCCTAGTCATACTGAGAGCAGCAAACGAGTTTAAGGAGTAATTGAAAGGGACATCTCTACCGGACTAGTAGATGGGGCAGAGCCCATCAAGGCTTGACTCTAGCAACCTTGCAAGTGGACTTTGCTAGGCTTGACCCTCGTGACCTTGCAAACGGACCTTGCAAGTAGACTTTGCTAAGCTTAACCCTAGCGACCATGCAAATGGATCTTGCAGACAAACTTTGCTAGGTTTGACTCTAGTGACCTTGCAAAGCGACCTTGCAAATGGACTTTGCTAGGCTTAACACTGGCAACCTTGCAAATGGACTTTGCTGGTCTTGACTCATGCGACCTTACAAACAGACTTTGCTAGGCTTAACAAGTTAGACCAGGCAACTAGTGCATGGACGTCGACCTGGCAAATGAAACTTGGATGTTGACCTTGCAAACGATATGCAAGTGTTAGTTGGACAAACGATGTATGATGTTGATCGTGTAGAAAGACATGGTAAGTTCTTGACCGGGTTAGAAGGTCATGGTAAGTCTTTGACCGGTGTGTTTAGTTTGACAAAGGTTTGCTGAGCAAGGTTAGCACAGTGTAATGTTTTGCTTGGTGTTCTTACTTGGAGTTAGTAAGGTTCAACCTATACGGTTACGTGATTGACATGCAACTGGGCTAGTGGTTTGTTTAGCTCACTTGAGCTTAGGTGATAAGGGCCAAATTGGTTTATAAGCTTGGATCATGGGCTGAACTAAGCCCATGCGTCGGAAATAGATTAGGCAAAGAATCTTAGCCAAACTAAACCTGCACCTCAGAGATGGACCAGACTAAGGTGGAATGAGGATGTGGCTTTTGATCGGGCTATGAATTTCAATTGAGCTAGATGTTTGTCCGAGCAACAAGAAAACCCACGGCCGAGCGAGGATTCAACCGAGCAAAGGTGTACTCGAGAGTTAGGCCATCATTTCGCCATGTACAACAAATGCAACCGTGACCTTTTGATCACTATGAAGCGATTCGAACAAATAGACCCACTCGTCAAAACTGAGCAAGTCAGTCAAGGCCATAATCGAGTAGTGCGAACGTGCTATGTTTGGAGATCGACAAGAATGAACCGAGTAGCAATCAAAGACATGGCCAATCAAGCTTTGAAGAGACGCTCATGATCGTGAAAAGCTACGACGTGCAAAAGGCTGTAGGCCCATTCCAATTGCAAACCACAAAGCTCTATGCTCAACAATGGTATTTAATTCGCAAGTATGAAATGGCCCACAGTGAGTTGAATAGATTTTGGAAACACATAGGGTCAGCCCAAGAAAACTGAGCGAAGACGAGCCCACGATGGACCAGTCACACACCAACAAACTGAGCAGAGGAGATGAAATGCGAGCGAAACAAAGTGTTGCATCACTAAGATATTTCGAAATAAGTCAAATAGTTCTACTGGCCGAGTAATAGACAACCTTGAACTCTATCAAGACCGAGCAAAATAAGCAATAACGAACAAAAATGGGCCTAGCATAGTGAATGAGCTGGGCCCACCAAACTACTCCATGCATGCACCAAGAAATGACTCTATCAAAATGCTATGGGCTTGTTTGGTTTGTGTTTCTCAAAAAATTTTGAGAAAAATTCTCTACAAATAAGTTTTTAAAAGTAATCAAATCAAACAATTTTTCTCAAAATTTTTTTCCAAAACTTGTTTGGTTTACAAGTTTTCTAAACAAATCTCTCTCTCATACATATCAAATCAATCACTTTTTTCAAAATTTTCTCTCAAAATAATTTTTCAAAACATCTTTTGAAAGAAAATCAAACCAAACAAATTTTCGTACTTTTTATCTCAAAACTTGTTTCTCAAATACAAACCAAACAAGCCCTATGTGTCTACGAAGAGACGTGATGTCAGAATGGTTAGTGAGTGCACCACTCTAAAGGCGTGAAACCAGAGGATTTAGCTCGGCAGAATATGGTAATCCTAGTCATGCTGAGACAGATAGAATTAAAAGGAAATTGATAGGGGAATTTGTGTTGAAAAAATGGGTTGAACTAAATCTATTGTAGGCCTTCTCTTTAGACTGAACAATCAGATTAGCACGTCGCCTCGAATGTCGAACCAAGTTAGATGAACTTGGGTTATGGGCCAAGCGGAGCTTACACCTTGGTAATAGCCGGGCTGAACCAAGGATGAGGTTTCCATCTAGGACCGAGCTAAAGATCCCCAACCGAGCTAGCATATAGAAGTTGTGCTGGTAACAAGCAAATGAGGACTTCGACCGGGATGAATACAAAGAGTCCTGAAAAGGCTTGGCCAAGCTGTGAGACAGCTTGATAAGCCAAACAGAGTTAGCTCGGCATAAGAACATGCAGAGTTAGTGCGGTTGAAGATGATTGAAATGAAATTGAGCTATAAGTGATGGCTCGGTCAGGGCGCTCCACATGGCCCAATGGAGTAAGAAGAGGAATCCACTCAAAGTATGCATTAATATCATTTAGCGGTTTGGCCAATGTTGTTTGGCAATATTAAAGTGCACACATGCAAGGAAAAGAGAGGACAGTACTGCCACTCGTCCAGCAAAGGATAATAGAAATAGTGTGCACACAATCTTGGAAAGTAAGGTAGTAGCCTAGATAAGGTGGATGACTTCACTCTGAGAAGGGTAAATAAATTCTAACAACTCTCTCGCTCTCTTGCTCTCTCTACATTCTTTCTTTTTCCTTGAGTGTGCTAACTTGACTATCAGAGAGTTTTTTTGGCAACTAGGAATGGCAACGGGGTGGGGCGGGGTGAAGCGGGGCCGGGGATCACACTCCCCGTTCTCGATCCCCGATTGTGAAAATTTCCCCAGCCTCGGCCCCAGCCCTGATCTTCGACGGGGAACCTACCACTGTCCCCATCCCCGCCCCCAACGGGGATCGGGTTTCCCCGAACCTGAAAATTCCTCGGCCCCCAAATATGTTTCAACACCACAATTAATAACAACAACAACATCATCATCATCAACATCAACGTATCATTTTCAACATCAACATATCAAAATCATCAATAGATCATAAACCAAAAAAAAAAAAAAATAGACAGATCGGATTTGAGATCTGTGTATACATATATGTACACATACACGTATACATGTATACCTGTATACATACACAACATGTAAATGCATACAACAACAACAACAACATCAACATAAAAAAATCATCAATACATGTATACATACACAAACAGATCTGAGATTTGTGTCACAGAGAGAGAAAGAGAGAGAGAGAGTGGACGATCGGATCATAAACACATACAGATAGAGGACAATACACATACAGATCCGTGGTGGACGAAGGAGGAGCAGAACGATCGGAGATGTGGAGGCGATGGATGGCTGTGACTGCGACGACGGAGGCCATGGACGACGGAGGAGGCCAATCGGCGTCGCGGACAGTGCGAGAGTGAGAGCTTGAGACAGAATCAATCATGGTGTCAGAGAGGAAGAGAGATCGATCTGAAATGAGAGAGAGGAGAGGAGGTGTGTTTGTTTTGGGATTGTTAGCAAATGAGAGAGAGAGTTGATATATATTAGTGGGTAGGTAGGTGAGAGTATATAATATATATTAGAGAGAGATGAGTACATAATATATATTAGGCGGGACAGGACCCGGATGGGGAGCGGGGCCAGGGTCAGGATCGGGGTCGGGGCGGAATTTCTTATCACTGTCCCCGGTTCGAAAATGACCGGGGATTTTTTTTTTAATACCATCCCCGGCCTGTCGGGGGTATTTTTCAGGAAAAAACTGTATTAATCGGGGTCGGGGGGTCGGGTCCCTGTCGGGCTGGGTTTAAATTGCCATCCCTATTGGCAACACACCCGCCAAATAGATTACCGTCGCTATGTTTTCAAGTTGTATAACGTCATTCTGAGTAACGTAAAACTTGGCTGCAAGGAGTAGAGAAGTAATGAATATTTACTCCCCATACAAATACTTTAATCTTGAAGAATTTGATTTTTCCTAAAGAGGTTCGTTAATTATTTCATAGCATTTTCTTAGGTGTTTTGGAAACTTGGCTAAAAGTTAATTTTTGACTTTTAACTTATTTTTGAGCATATTATCTCTCTATTTTTTTTTTTCCGAAAGAAATTTAAAAAATTAATTTTTAACTAATTTTTCAAAACAAAATCTTTGTAAGCATTTAGACACACTGGACAAAAATAAAAAATAAAAATTGTGTAATATTATATTAATTTGTAAACATAACGACCATTCTCAAACAAATTTGAATGAGTCTCGGTGATAATTTCAATACAGCCTACGTGGTCGCGTCATAGATGCTCAAAGCTGCCAAGCACCAAACTGCAAGACACTGGCAAATTATTGCTTGTCTGATGCCTAAAGTTGATCTTCATTAGTTCATAGGATCTAATATTTTTTTTTTTTGTTTGGAAAAATTATAGGCAAAAACAATTAAAATTTGACTTTGGTAATAGAGTAAATTTTGAATTTTTTATTTTATCAGATTAAAATTTTAATTTATTTCAATTTAAATTATTTATTTATTTTTGTTAAATAAAATTGACCAAAAAAAAAATTTAGTCATTAAACTCAACAAATAATGATATTTTAAATTTTTTATATATATTTATATTGAGTTTAATGATCAAAATATATTTTTTTTTATCGATTTTATTTAATGAAAATAGATTGATGTTTTAAACTAAAAATAAATTTTAAAGATTAGATGTTTAAATTGATAAAATTAAATAGTTTGAGTTTATTTTGTTATAATTTACTACATATTTTTTATTTTTTATTTTTTTATAATTTTCCTTTTTGTTTAGTTTGGCGCCATGTTTGGTTTGATTTTAGTTTCTTTTTTTTTTAAAAATTAAAAAGTAATTTGGTGAGACAAATAAAAAATAAAAACACTATTATTTTTATATATTATTTTATCTTTTGAGAGGCCATAATAACTAATTTTTTAAAAATTTAAAAATATCTTTATTTGATAATTATTTATCAATTAATTTCTAATTTTTAAATTATTATTATTATTATTATTATATTATTATTGAAAGTGAAACCAAACAAGCTAACATTACAAGTACTATTTGTTGAATATTGTGAAACGTTATTTCAAGAAGAAAAATGTTTGGAAGGGGACCACAAAACAGTGGCCTCAAATGGCTCAAAAACTGTCAAAACGACATCGTTTTGCAGATTTTGTCCAAAAACGACGTCGCTATTGACAGTTTTGAGCCATTTGAGCCCATTATTGTTTGTGCCCTCTACCATTGCTGTATTCAAAATGGGGAATAACAGCAAAGTTTGTAGCATTAAAAATAATAAAAAAAAATTAAGATCAGTGTTAAAATTTAGGAAAACAGCAAATTGTAGCATTAAAAATTAATAAAAACAATTATAGATCAGTGTTAATTTAGGAAAAAGGTTGAGATCTCTTTTTTTTTTTTTGACCCCAAGCACCCCCATTGTATTGGGATTGGCAAATTTGTTTTTTATTTTTTGTTTTGTTTTGTTCCTATTACGTCAAGAAAAAAAGGATCTCTATCATTTCTGTAAAATTTATGCATTTTAATATGAGTGCTGCTATTAGTACCTGTCAAAATTTTTTGGACCTCCCATTTTATAATTTTTTTATTACAATTATACCCTAAAGTAAAATTAAATTAAAAGACATTATTAAATAGAACACCTACCTATCAATAAGAACTAATACTCTATAATATTGGACACCCACCCTCACCCCCATCGCCACCCCTACCTTCAACTCCAAGTCCAACTATACGTATTCCATGTTTGTAAACCATAAACCTATTACTTTTCATAACCAACTAACATAAACCCTAAATTTATTATTTTTTATAATCATTTTAAATCCTGAATGTATCATCCTCATCAACGCTATTGAACTTGAAAGTTTTGCTTCAAGTATAACGTATACTTCATCACTTATTTCATTGTGTAGAGCAACGAAGGACGAAGACAACAATTCTAGTGAGACCGGCGTTCCATTGATAAGTTTATCTATCTTATATTAACATTCTCGGTCATTTTCGGTCGTTCTTGTTTCGTTCGAACTGTTCGGTATTGGTTTGCTGACTGTTAGAATTATGTTCCGTATTACAGTACTGAACATAATTCTTTCGTTCAATACATAGGTTCCGAACATTAATGCAGATAGTCAGTTATGTAATTTTCTTTGTTAAACTAACTTAGAATGGAAAAGAGTGAATTGGAATGGATTTAAGTTATGTATTTTGAATGAATTTAATTTATGTTATTAATAGTGGTGAATTGGAATGGATTCAAGTTACACAGTGATGAACAAATTTTGTTCGGACATACAGTGCTGATAGAATCATTATTGTTTGACAAAACAGTTCTGAACAAAATACATTTTTTCGGCTACACAATGGTGAACCAATTGTTTTGAGCTACGTTCAGAATTCTGATGGCGATTCAGATGATGATTCTGATGGCGATTCAGACGATGATTCTGTTTTTTCTCATCTTGCAAACGGTTATGCAAATTACGTAGAAATTGGAGTATCTTCGATCGATCTCAGCGATGTCGAAGATACAAAAAGCAACAAAGAAGATGATGATGAGAGGATGAGAGAGGTTACTGATTCGGCGATACGGAGAGCATTCAGAAAAGATGAGAGTTGTCAGAATGCTCCGTTGACTGTCGAGACGGTGACGAGAGTGGAGGGTTGGGGTCCAAAAATTCTATATTGGACCAAAGCTCCAAACTCTGAAGAATGAGTGAGTCAAGGAAAGAGAGGGGTGAAAAATTAGGTGGGTGTGCATTTCATTGTGAAAATATTATGAATATCGATAGATTTGGCAATAAATGGGGTGTCCAAAAAATATTATTAAAATTTAAAATTTAGGGTTGGGATCCAAAGAAATGAAGGGTCCAAAGAATTTTGATAGATACTAATAGCAGCACTCTTTTAATATTTAAAATATTTTTTCATGATTTTATATATATTTTTTTACTATATCACAGTCTGTACAGTTATTTCCCCTTTCTTTTCTATCCCTTTTTTTTTAATAATTTGGAAATGTTAGTTTTTTCTCCTTTCAAAATTACCAAATAATCACTACGCACAGGGAGCAGGCCGACTTGTACCCCTTTGTGCATCAATATGAGAACTACCAATCATATATATATAGCTGACAGTCGCTGTTCTATGGAGTAAAAATTTGATTCATGGCCCTCATTGACAGTGAAATGAGAGAGAGGGAAAAAATAAAAAATAAAAATAAAAGTTATTCAAAGAAAACTTGAAATGTGAGCCAAGTGGTTAAAGTAGCCGGCCTTGAAGTCATATCCATTCATAGAGAAAAGACACAGCTCGAGCATACCAACATTTCGAAAAATTATTATTAGATACTCTTAAATTACTGTATAATACTGTATTAATAACAAGGTAAATTTGAAATAAATTAAAGTTGTATTTAGATTTTAAGTTTACATAATGAAGGATTTTAAAGGGAAAAAAAAAAAAATAGGGTGAAATGTAGAAAGAACTTAATTTATATATTTTTCTTTTCTAAATTATCTACCAAAATGCATGATTAATTCAAACACAACATAAATCAATTAATTATTTAACTCTCAATTACCTAATAAAAGTAAATGTTATTTGATTAGCTTGAAGCTACATATATATAATACTCCAAAACTGCTAAATAATTCCCGGCTAACACCAACCAATCAACCAAAGCAATGAGCCTCATTCCTAAATAAGATTCTGAAAAATTCTTATAGCTACCCAACAAACCCCACAACCTTCGCAATTTCAAGTTCAAATAGTATATTTAGAACACCACAGGAGCTAGAAATATATTTCGCTTAGACTTAAAAAGAGTAGTTGATTCAATAGTCGAGAAAGATCACTTGGAATACCATATAATCAATGGAGCTTCCAAAAAATCTCCTCCCCGATGAGGCAAGTCCCGAGTGGCTAAACAAGGCCGACAATGCATGGCAGCTCACAGCTGCCACGCTTGTCGGCCTACAGAGCATCCCAGGACTAGTAATCCTCTACGGAGGCATGGTCAAGAAGAAATGGGCCGTGAACTCCGCATTCATGGCTCTCTACGCGTTCGCAGCAGTTATCGTGTGTTGGGTAGGGTGGGGTTTCCAGATGGCATTCGGAGATAAGCTGACCGACTTCTGGGGAAAACCAGGCGTGGCGTTGGACGACAAGTTTCTGCTAGGGCAGGCATTTCTAGGGTATTTTCCGAATGCAACGATGGTGTTGTTCCAATCGGTGTTTGCAGCGATAACGTTGATTTTGATCGCGGGAGCTGTTTTGGGTAGGATGAATATAAGGGCATGGATGATGTTTGTGCCGCTGTGGCTGACGTTTTCATATACAATTGGAGTGTATAGTATATGGTGTCCGGATGGGTGGTTGGCAAAGCTTGGAGTTATTGATTTCTCTGGTGGATATGTTATCCATCTCTCCTCTGGTGTTGCTGGATTCACTGCTGCTTATTGGGTATCTCTCTCTCCTTTTTTCTTTTCTTTTTTTTTAAAAAATTTTTCTTTTACTAATATTTATGTTTTATGGTACATAAGGTGCATCGATTCACATAATAGCTTTTGCCTATGTTTGGTATTATAAAGGTTGTTCTCCAAGAACTAAATCAAATGAAATGAAATGAGATAAAGACAATATGACATTTGATAAGAAAACTTTGATGACATGTAGGCTTGTAACCAGAATAAACCTATGGACCATGGATCTTGCTGTGACTAGTGCAGCAAGGTGTTGTGGTGCCTCAGTGGAGATATTTTTTGAGTTTTTAAATAATTTGAAGTATTTATGTTGTAGGGTTTGTTGAGTGAATTATATATGCAAAAAAATCAAATTTATTTTACGTCTATAGCTTAATAACAAGTGTACATTTGTTAACATCTATAGCTTAATAATAAGTGTACATTTGTTTTTCAAAAAATAAACAGTTGATATGATCTTAATAATTTTTTATAAAATATTTAGAATCTGATCATAGGATTGCGAATTTCTAATTAACTTGATTTTTTATATGAATGATATATTCGACAAATTCTACAATATAATGATTCAAATTATTAAAAAATGCTCAAAAAAACCCCCACAGGGGCACCACAGTATCTTGATGGTCTATCGCAAGATCTCCTTATTATGGAAAAAATTATTTGTTGATCTTGGGATACTATATGGTCATACCTCACACCAATCACAATTTAACATGTCTCTTCATATTTTTCAATCACTCAATATAAATTTATGGCCTCTTGCCCCTCCATCAATCACAACACCATTAAAACACCACGTGACAATACTATAACACCAACCAATAACTTCTCCTATTGTCGGGGGACGCATTAATTAGTTTTTCTAGTACATATCATGACAACAGCTTGTGGCCCTGTTTGGTGTAACTGTGGGAAGATGATTATAGATTATGACTTAACAGATTATAAATTATAGTTTTAAATATAAATTGTTAATGTGTTTGGTGCAACTGTGGGATTATAAATTTAATCAGTAGAGTAATGTTTGGTTGAATAAGCTGTAAAATAACTTTTTGTTGTGTAATGTCCTTTTTACCCTTATAAGATATAAAATTTGTGATTTCATTTATAATACATTTTTTTTTTCTTTTCTTTTCTTTTTCTCCTTATTTTCTTTTCTTTTCTTTCCTTCTCTTCTTTCTTTGCTAGTTTTGTTTAATTTATTAATTCATTAACATTAATAAATATTCATGTTCATATTTATATTTATGTTGTGATTTCATTACATATTATTTTTTATATATTCATTTTAATTATTTATATCTGTATCTCTGCTCTTTATTATTGTTATTAATTGTGATTTTTGTTCATCAATTAGTATCAATTAATATAAAAATTATCAATTTGTTCATCAATTATTAAAATTAGTATCAATATGTTCATCAATTATTATTATTATTATTATTCTTCTTTACTATTATTCATTTTAATTATTTTTGTTCATTACATATATTCATTAAAATTATTAGTATCAATTAGTATTAATTATTTTATATATTTTATAATATATATATATATATATATAGAGAGAGAGAGAGAGAGAGAGAGAGAGACCTCTGGTTTGCTTCGCCGGAAATTGCTCTTGTCGGAAATCGCTGCTGAAAATCGCCTCTCTCTCTCTCAAGTGAGTGAATGAACAGTGTTTTTAAGAAATGGGATTTATATAATTGGGTTTTTGGTAATAGTTGAAATTGATGAGGGCATTTAAGTAATTTTGCATGGCCTCCGTTAATCTCAAACACGGAAGCTACTCCCAGTCGCTTGTGATTCCAACCACTTTTCAAGGAAAAAAAGCTACAAAATCATAAGCTAGTGAACAAAAGGTTAAACAAACAGTCTAAAATAGCTTTTTGGAAGCTAAAATATATAATTTGGTGTTTAAAATTCACACCAAACACCCCCTATAACAGCCTCCCTATGAAATTTCACGCATACCCTTCTGAATCTGTTATATTCGGGTAATTATTTAGTAATTTCAAGTATGAACACGTGGTATTCTATAATTGTAAATCAAAACACAAAAACATGCAGCGGAATAAAATGTTTAGATCATACCTCATTTGATCTAAAATCTCATGGATAAATCACGTGCTTCCAGAATCTAATCAATCAATCCCAGCAGTGGGGTGATATTACAATGGTGAATATCACCCACACAAACCACAGTGCAAATGACTTGATCGTTGTTTCTTGGGAGAGAGTAAGTTTATGGGTAGAAACAAAACCCTACGTTGTTTCTCTCTCTAGGTTACCCATAACCATATATCAGATATATATATTATTATTATTTATCCATATCAGTTAAAACTGATAATATCTATATCCTGAGTGGTTATCCTAAATAGGTTTGAATTTAATTCAAAACCTATTTGGATAAGATCCAAATTATGTTCAAATGGTCATGCCACATGGGCGCCCATTACTAACATCTCCCACTCGCACATGAGTTGGCATGACACTGCCACATCTCTGTCTCAATCTCCCAAAAATAAACAATCTCATACTAGCCACTGCACCGTGCGACTGCTGAGAACACCTGCATGTGGGAGCTCTATACTAGAAACTTTTACAAACATTCATGTATATATTGTAAACATACACATGTAAAAATAAACACATGATTAAAGGAAACACGAAAATATCCATCAAAGGCTCTGATACCAATGTAAATCATAGATCACAAAACTTGCAGCGGAATAAAATGTTTAGATCATACCTGATTCGATCTAAAACCTCATGGATAAATCACGTGCTTCCAGAATCTAATCAATCAATCCCAGCAGTGGGGTGATATTACAATGGTGAATATCACCCACACAAACCACAGTGCAAATGACTTGATCGTTGTTTCTTGGGAGAGAGTAAGTTTATGGGTAGAAACAAAACCTACGTTGTTTCTCTCTTGGGTTACCCATAACCATATATCAGATATATATTATATTATTATTATTTATCCATATCAGTTAAAACTGATAATATCTATATCCTAAGTGGTTATCCTAAATACGTTTGAATTTAATTCAAAACCTATTTGGATAAGATCCAAATTATGTTCAAATGGTCATGCCACATGGGCGCCCATTACTAACAATAATATTATGATTGGTGAAGAATGTGAGTAGGTGTGGTATTATATTGGGTGATTATGGAATATGATAAGTCATATTGAATGATAATTAGTTAGGGAGTACAACTACGTTGTACTCCAGGAATATTGAATAATTTCCCTTTATATCCTTCATAATTTTTCTTTTTTAACATCTCTCTAATTTGCCTCCCTCTAAATGTTTATTATTAGGGCCAAGCTCCTCTCAAGTAGGAGAGAAGCACTGAACCATCCAATTTCTTAATGGAGTCTACAACAGGCATCACTAGTGTAGATCATTCATTTCAAAAATTCTACAACAGGCTCCTCTCGAGTACTCGATGATCTTAAAAGTATATTTTGTAAAATTGTTTGAGTAAATCATTCATTTCAAAAATTAAATTAAGTCTTATTTGTTTGAAACAAAAATAGATAGCCTGCTTTTCCCAACTTCATTAATTATTTTTTACAAAAAAGTAATCTGATCAAGTGACTCCTAATATCTGATCAATCTGATTTTTTATTTGATAATCTGCTCAATAGGACTCTATAAAATAAATGTTTCGAATTGTCAAGATTGATCCAAAATAAGTCTATAAAAAATGAATGATTATTCTTCAAATCATATTTTTCGTTCATTTTGTTTTAAACAAATATGATTAAAGAATATAGTTGTTGATATCTAATTATTTTAATTTTTTGCGTAAATATTCTAGTTAACAAATCTTAAAAATTAAATGAGTTAAATTACCAAAATTAATTTTAAACTAAATTTACTAAATTCAAACACTTTTTTAAATTAAAATGACAACTTAAGATAGCTAAACCCATATTATACTTATTAAAGTAATGTTACATGAAGATGAGAATTCAAACGTTCACTTTGCCAACTCACGAGTTCATATAAGTCAAACAAAATTAATGGCAGTTTCCACCAACTCACTGGTTCATATAAGTCAAATAACAGAAGTGGAGTATACAAGCTTTGTCTATTTGTCTACTACTTAAGCAATGTTAGGGAGTTTAAAAGGAAAGTTAAGGCAGGCTTGGCAAGTACCCAAAAATTTAAAAAGTTAAAAAGTTGCATAAAAAGTAAAACAAATATTATTATTCATAAATAAAAAATATTAAAAAAATATTTTATACATTTTTGTATTACAAAAATTTGAATTATACTGTCAGCCGTACTGCCCCAACAGAAAGACAAGTCATACACTTTTTGGGTAAAAAAAAATTACATATGTAAAATCACAAAGTTTGATAGTAATGTTGGGCCCTTGGGGGCCCACTAAGGGTTCCGTTTTGATAATCCAAATTATTCAATATGCATAACTTGTCAAGTACTATATGGCTATAAAAAATTACATTGATTGGATATCGTTAACTATATAATCAAATCAATTTTGTATAAACAAAACGGATGGTGTGATAATTAACTATTGAAAAAAAACTAATCCGATCATATAGCTATCGATATCCGATCAACGTGATTTTTTATAGGCATATAATTCTTGACAAATTGTACATATTGCACGGTTCAAATTATTAAAATAGGACCCGTGGTGGCCCCACAGACCGACCATCACTATCCAAATACTTTGCGTCGAAGGAGGTAATAATTTACTGTGTAAGACCCACCGCCCCAGTAGGACAACCGAACAACCTACTCAACTTTCTTCCCCTATACACTTTATTTATACAATTTTTTATTATATATTTTTTCATAAAAAGACAAAAAGTTAACTCAAATATCTATATTTTTTTCCTCAACTTTTTAGTCTAAAAAGACAAAAGTGCACTTATTTAGGACATCCCAAACAACCCCATTTCATATAATATTTAGGGTCAACCATTAATAAATCTCAAATAGTAATTTTATAAACTGTTAGGTTTTTTCTTTTCTTCTTCTTCTTTCTTTTTTTTTTTTTTTTTTTTTTTGTACGAACCCAAAAAAAAATTTCTTATATATTTTTTTCAAACGTAACACTCCAATATAAAATACTAAAAAATTTCGTAGTGTACTTCTATCAAACGTAAAAACGCAACATTTTAAAAAAAAATCTTAGTTTACTTTTTACAAACGTAATACTCCAACTAATGTAACACACAAAATTTCTTAGTATACATTTTTCAAATGTAACACTCTAAAAACATAATACTCCAATGTAACACACTAAAAAAATTCTTAGTGTACTTTTCTCAAACGTAACATTAAAAAAGAAAAAACTCCTTATTGTATTTTTCTCAAACATAACACTCCAATCAATGTAATACATAAAAAACTCCTTAGTGTATTTTTTTAATCATAGCACTCTAATATAACACTTCAATGTAATACCAAAAAATTACACTAATAGAAATGTAGATTTCCACATTCGATAACTAACACTTCAGCCATCAATTCTCCCAAAAAGAATTTTTTGTACCTCACATTTCCATTCTCATCCCAAAAATAAATCAGAAAATTGGAAAAATGAATTACAAAAAGATATTTACTTAAATTCAAATTGTACTAAATCAAATAAATACGACTTTTTAAAACAAAAAGGACTAAGTAGCTCATAAGAAAACTCTTAGAACTAAATGAATTAACATTCTCCTATATGAAATTTATAGATAAATTTTCCAAATTTTTATATGGTGTGAGGCTAAAAATTTTACACAAAACCTATGTGAGTACTATGGGGAAAAAAAAAATAGTAATTTTTTTTAAGAACTCTTGTATTTCTACATAAATATAAAGTAACCTTAAAAAATATCAAAAATTCTATACAATCATCACATAGAATTGTTAATAGTGATTATTGTATAAAATGTTTAATAAATTTGTTTTTAATTCTTTGCATTTCTTGATAAATATATGTTGATATATAGGTAGGACCGAGAGAGGAAAAGGACAGGGCCAGGTTTCCTCCAAACAACATTTTGATGACGCTAGCAGGGGCAGGACTGGTTTGGATGGGATGGACGGGGTTCAACGGTGGAGCACCTTACGCCGCCAGCACAGACGCATCTCTAGCCGCACTGAACACGCACGTATGTGCTGCTACAAGCTTGCTCACTTGGATCACACTCGACACCTTCATCTTTGGCAAACCTTCTGTCATTGGTGCTGTACAAGGCATCATCACTGGCCTTGTTTGCATCACTCCTGCTGCTGGTAAACATTATTAATGACTATTTTTGGCAACATACTAAAATAATTTAAAAATTTAAGAAATCACTATATAAAAAATAATAATTAGCGTGTTTGGTTTGAGTTTTCTGGATTAAATTTTTTGAAAATTGATTTTTTTGATTTTTGTATTTTTTTGTTTTTAGTGAATATTTTTTAAATTTTAAACATTTTTTTTTTACTTTTTTAGATGCACCTTATTTAGATATATCTAAAAAATAAAAAAATTGTGAAAAAATATTTTAAAAAATTAATAAATACATAAAAATACAAAAAATGTACTGAATTATTGTATTTTTTTTTTGTATTTTTGGTATTTAGTGAATTTTTTAAAAAGTGGAAACAAGGTGTGTCTAAAAAGTAAAAAAATTGCTTAAAATATTTAAAAAATTCAGTAAAAACAAAAAAATACGAAAAATAAGAAAGCAGAATTTTCTAAAAAGTGGAAACAAGCAAGGTATTTTTTTTAAATTTTTTTTTACATATCTTCGTAAAAAATTAAAAAATTAATTGAAATAATCAATTTTTAAAACAATCCTAAAAATCACGGGCAGGGATGGCAAGCCTTCCCATTTTTGCTTCTAGAGCTAGCCAAGTTATTGTATTTCCACTCCAAAATCAATGGCTCCAAAGCCAACTTTATTAACTAAAAAAACCTATTAAAGATATACAAGTGCTAACTCATTTAATAAATTTAATTCCCACCCAAAAAAATATAGTATTTTTGGTTGTAAAAAAGAATGAATAAATAATATATAGCGTTTTACCTTTTACACAACGGTGCTGCTTGAGGGCCCTAAATTTCGGGGCTCTAATGCCCCGAAATTCCATTTTAGGTATAAAAAAAAAAAAAAAAAAAAAGGAAAAAAGAAAGAAAAAAAAAAAACAGTTTCCAAAATTAGAAATTGGGGGTATTAGGGGCAACTTTTTTAGGGCCACCAATCATTTTCCTTTACACAAATATAAAGATAGTCTCGTGGAGAAACTAGGTACTTTGTGCGACATGTAACAGAGTTCAATTGTTTTTACTACTAAACTTTTTATTAAGGTGGTACACAAAAGAAATATACATATAGCTTGGTCTAATTTTCAAAATATTGTTTTGTTTTGTTTTGATTTTTAGGGTGACAAGTACATGCATGACCGTTAGTTAAATTGATCAATTTGAATTAATTTTCAAAATATTTGTTATTAATATAATGATAATACATGAAATGATAAATAAAATATAAAAAATATGATTATTATAACATTATTATTACAAGTATTCATTAATTTTAAAAGTTAAACATTTTTTCGAGATATATATATATAGAAAAAAAATTGAGAACTCTAAATTAAGAGTTCTAATAATTCTAATTGATATGTGGGTCGCATGTGATGTGATGTTTTGGCCTTAATTTTTTTTCATTTTTTTTTATTTTTTTTATTTTTTTTTTATTTTTCACATCATTAGTGTTCTTTTAAAGCTTATAAATTAAAGGGATGTATCATTTTTGTATTAAAAATTATTTTTTTACTTATATAATATACTAACGCATGCCCGTGCCTGAAGGCACGATGTAAATAATGCTAGAATTAAAATATAGTTGTAATCCCAATACTATTTAAATTTATTTTTTAATTTGATAAATTTACAAATTTATTATAAAATTTTGGAGTTTTATATTGTTGAACAGGAGTGGTGCAATGCTGGGCAGCCATACTGATGGGCATAATCTCAGGAAGTGTTCCCTGGTACACGATGATGGTCCTCCATGACAAGATCAAGCTACTGAGACATGTAGACGACACAATGGGCATGTTTCATACTCACGCCATTGCTGGAAGCTTGGGTGGCATTCTCACAGGCTTTTTCGCAGTACCCAAATTGAGTCGCCTTTTTTACATGGTTCCCGACTGGGACAAATACATTGGCCTTGCTTATGGCCTCCAGAGTGGCCGAACTTCTGCTGGCTTTCGACAAATGGCGGTTCAACTTGCAGGAGTTGCTTTCATTGTGTGTCTCAACATTGTTAGCACGAGTTTGATTTGTTTGTTCATCAAGTTGATCGTTCCGCTTAGAATGAGTGATGAGGAATTGAAAATTGGAGATGATGAGATACATGGAGAGCAAGCTTATGCATTGTGGGCTGATGGGTGGAGGTTTGAGAATTCCAAGCATAATTCTGTTTACGATGCTGAAGAGTTTCCATCATCAGTTATGGAAAAGACTCCCAGACATGATCTGCAAATGGTTTGATACTTCCTTCAGTAAAATGTTGCCATCATCACTGACTAAAAAAATTAAAAAAATAAAAATAAAAAAGAAACCTTAGTTCCTTAATCTCAAAATACTGTACTACTCCAAAACTAGTCTATTTTCCTTCGACGATGATCTCATTTACATAGGGTCAGCCCTGACTTATTAGGGTCTAAGACGAATTTTTTAAATTGAGTCTTTCATATATTATTATCTTTAAAAAAAGAAAAGAAAAGAAAAAATTGTTTCGATAAAACAAAAAAGATAAAAATTTATTTCTATTACATTACAATTTAACAAAATTTAGATAACAAATATATAAATATATATATAATAGTTGAACTTCAATTAGTTGAATTGGATCTTTTTTTTTTAGCTTACCAATGTTATAAGAACTAAAATTAATTGACGATAAGAATGAGAATTTTCGACACAATTCAAGCAATATATAAAATTAGAAAGTTAAGGTTGACTATTTTTCAACATGAATCCAAATATGACACGACTCAATAACACGAATTATTAGTTATATATTTGAATGTTCACTAAGAGATGCCATGACATTTTAATCTTTTATTTAACTCCATCTAACTGAATAAAAAAATATGTAAAATAATAATTAAGCCTAATATCTTTTTTCATTTAAGATATATATTTTTTTGTTACTTATTTTCGAGTTAATTTAATAAAAAATATGCCGTAAGAAGGTACAATTTTTTTAATTAGAAAAATGCAATTGAATTAAAATCAAACATTCTATGAATAATTTCATTTAGTTGAAATAAATTTTATAAAATTCAACTTATGAGAAAAAATTTAATCTCTCGATACACTTGTTAAGTTATTTTTAACAAAAGTTTTTACATTAAACATCAATCAAACACGAATCAAAATAACATCATATGACAACATAAAAATAAATAAATTGAGCTAATATTGAAATAATTATGAAATAACACGACATGATATACTCTCTTAATTAGGGATCTTAAATTTTGTTCAAAATTAGAGACCCGAGGCAACCGCCTTAGTCACCTCACCCGAGGGCCGGCCCTGATGTACAAGCAAGTTTAGTGTGTTTTGCATGAAGGTGCCTGACTTCATAGATAACATAATATGAACTGAAAAAGAGTTTGGCATATCGGATTATGGCTTGACCCACATGATTATTTGTGTTATTTCATTTGCTAAGCATGTCATAAAAAGTTTAAATGTGAAACCTCTGACATTCATAAATTCTATTAAGGTTCTTATCTTTTGAATTATTATAGTGAAAGTCTTTGGTAGTATTTGGTAGAGTTTTAGAATTATGATTTGAGAATAGAGTTATATTTTGAGTTTGTGAGTTTTAGAATTATGATTTGAGTGTAAAAAATTTGTTTAGTTATTTGTTTTGAAAAGAGTTTTAAATTGAGTTTGAATTGAGTGATATAACACATGATATTTGATAAAAAAAACTTATAATTCATAACCAAACATACATCCCAAAATTCTATTCAAAACTCATAAAAAATTTAAAAAAACCAGCCGGACGACCGGTTAGCCCAAATTTTCTCGCTTTGGAAAGAGTTTTTAAAAGTGAGTGTGAAATTAATTTTTGAAAACGCTAAACAAACACCGCACTCAAAAGTAAGTGCGAAACTATATTTGAAAGCTCCATCAAACAGAGCCTTTAATTCTTCGTTTATTCGCAATTTTGCAATTTTAGGTCTAAAATAGTGAATGCATCCCGAACCAAACCGTGCAAACCCTAATTGACCCCAGTAACTTAATAATCACTTCTAACACCCTAATACTAATTAATTAACTCCTTAATTACTAATTGATCACTCAAAATCCTAAATTTTGATTCTCATTGCTTTCATTCAATTATTCGTCTTTTAATTCAATGCAAAGTGGCTCACACCAAAATTGTTTTCCCAAAACCCTAATTTAATTCAATTATACCCTTAAGATAGGTATTCTAATTCATAAATTAAGCCATAGTCCTCACATTTTATTAGAATTACACTTTAGGCCCAATCAAGTACTATGTAAAGTTATACCTTTTTCTCATCAAATCTTTTTATACAAAAATCTACCCTTATATATATGAATTTGTACAAATAATAAAGAAAAATCCCCTCAAAAATCACCCCACATGGCCGGCCACCCTAGCGAGATAAACTTGGTGTACTTTTGAAACAATTTTTCGTGAAATTAGGGAAAAAAGTATTCTAGTGCTCCCAAAAAATGGGAATTGTGTTTGTACCTCTAATTCCATCCTAGCTAAATTCATAATTAGATCATGTTTAACACTTAATTAGGTGTATTAATCACCCCTCATTCCATTAAACTTCAACTCAATCCAAAGTTTCCCCATTACATTGAAACCAAGGGTATTTAGGACAAATCACCACTTCCCCTCCTCCCCCCCCCCTATAAATACACCTCCCTCTTGCATATTCTTCACAGTCAAACACATACACCACACACACACACGCACACTACCACACAGCTGAGGAGAAGGAGAAAGAAGAGAAAGAGAGAACTTCAAATGAAGAGGAAGAAAAGTGTGCAAATTTTGCACAACCAATTCCATAGACAATAAGTAAGCCACAACACAACCCTCTTTTTTATTTTCTCATTCAAATACATGGTATTAGATGCATCAAGTGTTAATTTCAGAAGTGTATATATGGTGTTTATGTGTTTAAATAGGAAGAGTTAAGCCTCAATTACGACCTTACATGTATTTTCTCTTAAAATGAAACAAAACTATCATCTTCTATCCACTTCTTACATTATTTCCATAAGCATATATTTAATCTAAAAATATGAGTTATTTATATATTATTTAACGTGTTTTCATCATAAGAGATGTGAAAAATTTCTCATGGCTGCCCTCTTTTTTTATTACTCTCCTTAATTCAAGTGGTGTGCATGAAAGATCAGTATTTTCAACTCACTTTAAAAAAATTTGGAAAAATGAAAAAAAAATTTGTCTTCACCTCATTTTTTTTTATCAAAACCTTCCTTAAAGTGTTATCTTTCAATAAAAAATGATTTTATCAAAAAAGAGTGAGTGGTTTAAGATAAGATCTAATTTTCGTAACAGCCGACGAACCTAGACAGCGTTCGAGAATTTCTTAAATAATTAAAAATCTAAGAAAGCTGTCCCACCTTGAAAAATTGATCTGGAAACTAGATAAAATTTTCTACAAACCCTAGGAAGGCCGAGTTCGGAAAAAAAATCTGAAAATGCCATTCTGATAGTGATTTTTAAGGTAAACCGAATATGGAAGTTTGTTTATTTAATGGTTTCATGTTCTTAGTTACTTGAATATGCTCCTTATCGTTTGTTTAAGTCTTAGCATGTCATCTGCATATGATTGTGGCTTTATTCTTTTAATTTTTGCTATGGGATGTTCATACTAGTGTAGAATTTATTATTTCAATTGCTTGTGCTAACCTTGATTAATGCACCTAAATTAATGGGAAACTTAATAAGGGTGGTAATAGGTTTTCGATCACTTAAATAATTTTATGTTGGTTGACCGGACATGTTCCTTATTTGAAGATAAATTCTTGCTCAAGTAGTTGTTTCGGAATCCTTGAATGGATCGGTTATATTCAGACCCTAGGTGGTTATAAGGTTAGAGGAGGTTATAGGCTAGGCCCTTATTTTTACCGTCTCTTTTGAGATCCTCGGTTGACGCTATGCGGTACGTATCCGTTGTAGGCATCAAGGGTAAGGTCTGCAGAGCAGTAAAAGAAGGGGCATACCGAATAATCTGTGTCCAATTCTTGTGGTTGGGAGGATGAAATCTTTTTAGAGAATTTCTAGATTACAAACACTTAACCTTGTAACCCTCTACTTGTTTACTTGATTATCATGTTTAATTATGAATGTGTATTGGATTAGGAAAAAAGGACAAGGTGTGTGTGCATTTATTGCGCATTTCAATCTCATGGCGTTTCATACCAAGCACCGAAGAGACCTTTGTAAATGATGGAGAATCGAAGACGTTTGAACACTTTTGGTTATCTTAAGAAGAAGTAGAAGATATTTTGTTTAAAGTCCATCTGTAATACTTTGTCTTTTTGGAAGGTAATATTGATGGAACTTTTGTTTTGTAATTAAGTTATAACTTAATAATTATTCCTTTGCCTATATATATATATATATATCTTTTGTGAAACTATCCTTATCCTCCCGTCAACTTATGTAGATCTTGTGTTAATACCTTATTAAGATCTATCAAAGAGGTAGTTTTGCTATCTAAGGAGATTGGACTTTGAAGAAAGGTTATATTGACTCCTCCAATCTTTCCTAGGATCTTACTTGGTTATTGATCAAATAACTTATTAGTGACGTTTCCTAGATCTAAACCCATAGTATGACCTGATCCTTTTATACTCTTTGGTTCTGAGTTTTGTTTTTATATGTGTTGTTGTTATTTGGTCTAGTCTGATGTTGTTGTTGGGAATTTAGAATTAGATTGTTGGTTACGTTTGAAACAAGTTGGGACTTAGTATTTATGGGGAGATTTTGGTTGTCTGGGTTAGGTTCGCTCAAGCGGTATTTTGGTCGCTCAAGCGGCCTTTCGTTTCTCCCAGATTTTGAGTTTGCAGTCTGAACTTTTGGGAGCAGGGCTTTCTTCACTCAAGTAGTATTTTGGTCGCTCGAACAATCTGTTTATAGTCTAACTTACTGAGAGTTTGTATTCTATGCTCAAGCGATATTTTATTTGCTCGAGCAGTTGGCTCTGCCGAGATAATCTTCTAGGAGTTTGGTTTCTTCCGATTTACTTAAATCTATGGATTTCTTCACCATAGTACTTTGGGATAAAAGGTAGAGCTCGAAGAGGGGGTCATTTTGATTGGAGAAGTTTGAAATTTCGTTGTGGTCAAATTTTGGGATTTGTTCCCTTTCTCTTATGCTTTTAAGGTAGGGATTTTTGTACTGGTTTACATGTTACTTACCCTCGTTATGTGTTAGTTGATTGAACTGGATTTTGGAGAACTTCGGATATGATTTGGGGTTTGAATTAATTATAAAAGAGGGTTTTTTGGGATATTTTTATTTGAAATATTGTTGCAATGGTTTATGGTGTTGGGAATTGAGGAAATTTCTTTAAAATGGAGAATATCATAAGAAATATCTTTTTTGGTTTTATGGAAACCATTGATGATGCTTGATTTTGAACAAAGGAAAAGGGAAAATTGGCGAGATTTTGGAATGATATTATGATTATAGCTATTTGAGTTGAATGGTGGAGTTGAACATGTGATTGTTGCTCCTATATTGAATTCTGGAATTTATTTCTGCCTCTTGGAATTTATCATTTGAATAAAGATATATGTTTTGGCTATCAGTAGAGGATAGCATTACTTGTTATAGAAATTGCATATGAACCAGGTTAACGAAAACCCATTCACTCCTGCATTGCATTTGAACATTGGTTGCATATTTATACATTGAAATAGATTATTTTGAGAAAAAATGATGAATAATATGACCTAAAGCCTAGTAGAGATGAGTTTAATGATCTATATGATGCTTAACAAAGCCAAATGGTGAATACATATGAATGCCAATACCAAAACATGCGTTTTCTCTTTCAAACAATGCAATACCATGTTTATATCATAATTAATAAATTGTTGCTTCCAAAATAGAAAACAGGGCAGTAAATACACACACTGGGAATTTCTAAGTACGTGTTTGCAAGTAAGCTATATAAGCGCTACCAAAAGTCATTTTACTGGTACTAACCGGAAGGATCAATACCTAACCGCATGAGTTTCTGGACTTTCACCAAGGACACAAAGGCCAACATAATAACCACAACCACTTCCCTAACTAGATTCACCACAGTCACTACTACAAAATCATAAATAGATCACGCTTTTTACGTGTGATGTATGTTATTTAATTACACATTTTAAGTTTTGTCAAAGTGTGATATTTTGGAGTGTGATTAAAAGTGGTCATTTTTAATCTCACATTTTGAGTGTTATTAAAAGATGATCCCATCACACATTTTGCTTATGATAATATATATTTAGATTATATCTTTTAAGTGTGATTAATAACTAATCAAATCTGTGATAATAAACATTTAAATCACAAATTTTAAGTGTGATTAATATCTAATAAAACCTGTGATTAATAATGAGATAAGATCACACGTTATATGCATTTCTCATCACAGTTAATGCGTGTGATAACAAAAGGGTTTGACATATTTGAAGAGTAATCAATATTATTTTTGTACGCACATTTGAAGAATGTAATACACACTATATACTATCTTCTAAATCACAACCACATATTGAATGGAATAATGTCATATATTTTATAAATGAAAATTGAATGTTCAAAAGTCTATACAAAGGAATTAATAATAAGTTTTTAACTGTAATTACATATATTAAAAAATGAAAAAACTTGAAGCACAAAGTTCTTGAATTCTTTGACCATATTTTACATCACTCCAAGCAATTTCTGACCTGAAAAATGAAAGCACAAATTAATTCAGAGACCGCTAGAAGCATATGAATAAATTTACCATTTGTAGAAACTATTTTAGTCTTAAAAAAGATAAAGTCGAACCTTTTCTCATCACACTGACTCTTCATCTGCTACATTAACAGAAAAGGAATAAACACTTTGATTGTTACTAGTACAAAATGTTTGGATTACCATATAGATATGACATACACATAGAATTAACAAATCTAAAATGAAAATCTTCAGTGCATTGCTGGATATTTTAAAGTCATAAAACCAGTGGCTGTGATCTGATCAATCTCGAAACTTAGGAATAAAGTAGTGTTCAATGAAATCTTGAAGTGATTGTGTATTCCTCACCAACTAAAGAAATTGTTTACTAGCAATTTAAAGAACGAAAGTTATACCATACTTACATGTTGGATTTCAACTCATATTTTTTAGGACGAAATTAATCCATTCAACTCGCACTTTATCAAGTTTGGTTTCTGTGTAAGTCTTTTTTCCATTGAACTACAAGAGGTTATTTAGAAATAATTAGATAATGAAAAAGATGTACAAGTATCATGAATATAATATAGTAATAAAAGTTAAAATTTATCTCACACTTTATTTTCTTAGGATGCTTTGATCTCTAATGAGGTCTTTCATGTACCTTATCACATAAAACCTAAATTCCACATTTGTGGGTTGCTGCGGGAACTACATGAAAGCATTTTCATTATTATTAGAAACTACATATAAAGTGTTATGATCAAGATGAATAACCATTAGTATAAATATAAGTATGATAAAATTAGAGAAAATGGTATTGATTACCTGAACGACTTTCCAAACTGGATCGGTCCACCTCAGCTGCTTTGTACATTCGAGTTGATTGGAAAGTATGTGAAGGTTCCAATTTGATCTTTGGTTTGGTACTTGTGAGTAAAGTTCGAGTTTGGAGGGATAGGGCAATTAGTGTCCAACACTCCATCTTGCCAGGAATTCTTCCTCTGCTTAATTTCATTCCTAGAAGTGAAAAATTAGTGTTATTAGAGCATCTCCAACGGTATTAGGCATTTTACCTATCTAAACATTACTATAAAGTATACATTTTACTTTGCCTATCAACTGTTTCATGTTTCTACTCCAACCATGCTCTGTATTTTAGCTATTTATCCAAATACTATTAACTTTATAGAATGCCACATCAGCAACAAAGATGGAGGAAAATAATCCTAATGATTAAATACATTTTGCATAGCCTTGAAGGCTAGCTACATGTAGCTAGTGAACATGAGTTGAGCTAAAATGCCTAATCATATGCCTAGTGCATTGGAGTTGAAAAAAGTGAGTCATGCTAGGCATTTTGACTAACAAGCATTATATACCTAGTGGGTTGGAGATGCTCATGTTCTATTGTAAATGCCATGTAAATTAATAGAAATTGCACAAAAAGAACATAAAATTAGGTATGTATGCAATGTTAACAACACTCTTTTCTGAAAGTTTAATACTTTTTATGTTCAAAAATGAAAAACAACGTATATAACAACTTAATGGTATCCTCAAACCAAATCCATTTTGCCTCGAGGGAAAAATATTGACAAAGGTCACATTCATTTGAAAAAATTTAGGATCATGAACCACTATAATGAACCTATTCATATTCTTTTTTTATTTTATTGTGCATCGAATGTTGTAGCTTGGGGGGAGGGGAGAAGAGGGAAGACATGAACCCTTGACCTCCTAGTGAAGTGCAGAGAATAATGGGCTAACCTAATTGATTAGCAGGCTTTTTCTATGCTCTTATACACATTCTCAAATCATGCTAGTTTATTACCTCTTGTCAACCCTTCATTATCCACTGAACATGATCCACATTGGATGCAACATAACTTGTAAGCTTGCCAAATTAATAAGCATCGGGATAGAAATGTTCAGATAATTTATTCAATTAGACAAAATGTTTAAAAAATATATATATATTTAAGGTTAGGCAAGGAATCATGTTGACTTCCCCTGTAGTTTGAAGATCAAATATGTCCAAATCAAGGAATTTAAAATTTCAGTAATACATAAACTTATGCCAAAAAGTGAAGGTTCCAATCTGATCTTTGGTTTGGTACTTGTAAGTGAAGTTCGAGTTCGGAGGGATGGGGCAATTAGTGCCCAAAACTCCATCTTGCCAGGAATTCTTCCTCTGCTTAATTCCATTCCTAAAAGTGAAAAATTAGTGTTATTAGACCATGTTCTATTGTAGATGCCACATAAATTAACAGAAATTGCACAAAAGGAACATTAAATTAGGTATGTATGCAATTTTAACAACACTCTTTTCACAAAATTTAACACTTCTTACATTCGAATAAGAAAAGCAACGTATATAACAACTTAATGGTATCCTCAAACCAAATCCATTTTGCCTCGAGGGAAAATATTAATGAAGGTCACATTCATTTGAAAAAATTTAGGATCATGAACCACTATAATGAACCTATTCATATTCTTTTTTTATTTTATTGTGCATCGAATGTTGTAGCTTGGGGGGAGGGGAGAAGAGGGAAGACATGAACCCTTGACCTCCTAGTGAAGTGCATAGAATAATGGGCTAACCTAATTGATTAGCAGGCTTTTTCTATGCTCTTATACATATTCTCAAATCATGCTAGTTTATTACCTCTTGTCAACCCTTCATTATCCACTGAACATGATCCACATTGGATGCAGCATAACTTGCAAGCTTGTCAAATTAGTAAGCATCGGGATAGAAATGTTCAGATAATTTATTCAATTAGACAAAATGTCTAACATATATATATATATTTAAGGTTAGGCAAGGTATCATGTTGACTTCCCCTGTAGTTTGAAGATCAAATATGTCCAAATCAAGGAATTTAAAATTTCAGTAATACATAAACTTATGCCACAAACAAGTCTAAAACTAAAAGATGGCCAAGATAGTGAGAGAGAGAGAGAGAGAGAGAGAGAGAGAGAGAGAGAGTCACCATGTCAAGAGAAAAAGGGACGTCGAGCTAAAAAATTGACCATTGATAAGGATGACCTTCAAAATCAAACATTAAAAAATTTAAGAAATCTGAAAACTAAACTACAATTCATCATTAGTTATTGAAACAATCAAAATGCATACAGTATATTTAACCAAACCTGTTGAGCGACACCGAGAGGAGAAGTTATTTCATAAGTGACAGTCCATGTGAAGTATTTATAAGCATCCTCTGCTTTCACAACAGAAACACTCAACAGAGCCAAAAAACAAAAATTGAAAATAGTAACACTGATCTCCCCATTGTAGCAGAAAAGCAAAGAAACCCACAAAGCTCTCTTGTCTACAAATCAAACGAGAGGCCACAACTCAAAACCCACAACACAAACATATATGCAAACACAATGCATATATTATACATAATCAAACAAAGAAATAGATAGATAGAACATACCAAGTGAAAAGTGAATATTCTACAAACCAAAACAGAAAAAAGAAGAAGAAGAAGAAGAAGAAGAAGAGAGAGAGAGAAGATATGTCTATCTCTACATGGAGAGATCAAGCAGAGTCTGGAATGAAGTGGAAAAACAGGGTTGTATTATATATATATATAGTGGTTGGCACACGCAATGCGTGTGCAAGTCAAATAAATAAACAAAACATTTGATATATGTTGTATGCAATTCAAATGGTAAGAGCCTTGTTTATCAAATTTGTGGTTATAAGTTCAAGTCACACCCTCTTCTCTATTTTTTTTTCTTTTTCTTTTTCTTTTTCTTTTTCTTTTTCTTTTTCTTTTTGTGAATAGAAAATTTGACACTTGGATAAAAAGAAAGAAAGTTTCAAGCCACCAAAGTAGGTGCTTAATAGATTAATGACTAACAATATCCAATGGTACCTAGAATTGAACAAGTCACACATACAAGCTTAATAAAAATTCCATACAAACCAAGCATAATCCAACCTAAAAAATGTAGTGTCTCATAATACTATCTTGATAGGTCTTGATAAGTATAGACAATTGTTTATTACCAATCTCAACAATTATACTCTTAGTGATAGTTGTGAAATCCTGCCAAATAAAAATGAATTAATAGGGAAGGTTTTCTAATTCAGAGTACATGAATTATTTTGCTTGAGCAACCTTTTCTCAAGGATCTCAAATAAGCAACTCTCCTAAATAAAAATGACTAGCCAAAATCCTATTTCAATCACACCCAAAAAAATATTTCAGTTCTAATGTAATACATTATAATTCTATCAATTGAATTATACATTATAATTCTATCAGTTGAATTATTCATCATTATGTTACCTTCTTTGGTGTTATAAGACCCCTCTGCTCAACATTGGTTATCAAATACACCATTGGAGTTTTCCCAATAAGCTGTCACCAAGCAACCAATCAAAGAAAAATAAATCACCCTGATAATAATTATAAACATAACATCCATAAATCTCTTATTGAAAAAAAGAGAGAAAAACTACATGCGTAATCCCAATGCAAGTTGACCTTAACCAACATTGAACTTATCAATGAAAACAGTTCCTATAATTATTCAAAAAGAACATCCGCATTTTATATCATAAAGCTTTAATATTAGCCCAATTACAATGGGATTTTGCACTATAAACTTATGTCATGCTTTCCATGAGTCATTCTAAACAAAAGTTGATTTTATAAAATTCTTATAAACATAAACTTAGTACAAAACAATCACAATTCCTTGAAGCACAATAATAGCCATGAGCATAAAAGATGACCTTATCTAGGAATGTACAAAATTCATCGAATCATTAAATTCCATTAATCTCTTCTTCCAAGAAAAAAAGATATATATTTTGCTCATCAATTTAGATTTGCAACTGATATCCTAATTCACATTTTCATTTATTAATTGAACCTCAAACATTGCCATGATAAATGAGATTATTGTTGACCTTATGAAGACAATAAAACAAAATACCCAAATTTTGTACATCAGAAGACAGTTCTTTGCTTTCTAGCAAACTATAGATTTCTAGACCATAGATTTTGTCATCATTATTGGCATAGTTCGCCTTATCTAAAATTAAGAAGTACCCACAACAGTTACAGAATCATAAAACATCCATCAAAATTTTTCATCTGAGCCGTACAGTTTTCCAAACCCACATTTTTGAATCAAAATTTCAAAAAATAAAATAAAATTAACCAAACTCCCAATTTCCATAATGTATTCTAAACAAAACAGTCTAAAATTTGATAAGATAGTCAATTCACAATCACAATCATTTTTCCAATTAAAAATAATAAAAAATAAATAAATGAAAGCAAACCCCTATTCTGATTTCCATTAATTTTTCAATAAAACACCAAAATCTAAAGTAAACACTATTCTAACTTCTAAGCAACAACAAAACAATTTCAAAACTAGTCTTTTCATGATCAAAATTCCAAAACAGAAAATAAAAGCAACCCACTTCATAATTTCCATTAATTCTTCAATAACTCTACTGAATTTAAATTAACACATCATCAATTTGAAAAACTTGCCAGTTCAAAGTCAAAACTCTAAGAAATAACAAGTACCCACTTCATAACTCTTGTGAATTTCAGCAAAAAGGAATTAACTGACTCACCTGAGAGACAATCATTGGCAATGTTGAGGCCTTTAATGTCAGTTTGGGGCTTCGCAAACATAGCTTTGCAGGCTATCAAAGAAGAGACCTTCCTGGAATTGATAAGGCTTAGAGAAGTGAACCCAATGTGAAATGGAGTCGAAAATTCAGTTTTGATGCACATCGCTGATTTGGAGTTGCAGATAGAAGTCAAAGACCTGTTGATTAAAGAAGCCATTGTTGTTTCATCTTCTGCTCTTTGCTAGCAACACACACACACTCTCTCCCTCTCTCTCCCCCCCTCTCTATTTCTTTATCTCCCTTTCTCTCCAAATAGCAACACTATCGAAAACCCTAGAGGTTGAAATTAAGAGAAGAGAGACAGAAAGAAGGCGAAATAGAGAGGACATACCTGGGGTATTCCTCCAATGGTGGATCAATGGGGTGCTCATGTGCGATGGCAACGATGCTCCTGTACCCGAAGGCGATGGAGACAAAATGACCCGAAGGCGATGGAGACAAAATGAGAGAGATGTGGAAAACGAAGGGCAGAAGTAAGAGAGAGAGACAGGGAGAGAGAGAGAGAGAGAGGCATGAAAGAGTTGGATAATAGTGTGTGAGAGAGTTGGATAATTAGTGTGAAAGTGTTAGATATAAAAATAAAATTTTAAAAATATATATAATCACACATTAATTAGAAGGTGTGATTAAAAAAGAAGAAGAAGAGAGATATAATCATATTTAATTAAAAAGTGATATAAAAAATAAATACTATCACACTTAATTAAATTAGGTGTGATTAAAATATTAATTTGATTTTTTTATTCACACTTTCATTAAAAGTTTCACGTTTTAATTTTCTTAAGTGTGATCTTTAAGCATTTTTGTTGTAGTGTCACCCTATATGGAAACCAACTTTTAAGTGCTGATGTTATGTCTTCGCCAAAGGGTTAGGTTAGGAGGACTGTGGAGCTAAAAACTCGTTTTGTTTTTATTTTCTAAATGTATTTTGTACAAGCTTAGGATTTTTCCTGTATTGGGCTTCGACCAACTTTTGTTGTAACAAAGCATCATCTTGGAAACATGTAGCCTTTAAGGCATGAACTCATATTTATTTACTATTGTTTTATATATTTGTGACATTGTAATGGCCTAGGGTTAGATAACCCGACTTGTTTTATTTTTGGTTTAGACATGAGGTTGTTCCAGTTGACATTGGCCTTATCTAGGTGGTTTGGAAACTTGGTGCGTTTCGAGTTGGCTACAAAGCAGCAGCCAGGTCTTTCTGTCTTGGTTGGCCTTCAAGTTTGTTGGCTGGGGAATGAGGTGTATGCCCCCACGATGGTTGCATAGCCCGCGGTGGGGGCTCGCGACTCTCTTGGTTGCACCCACGAGTTTCTTGGTCATGTTCGCAACCTGTATTGTTCTCTTCATCGTGGCCACAGTGTGGCATTTGCGCCTGCGGTCTGTCTGTGTATAAAAGTCTCCAAAAGCCGAAAATATCTCATTTTTTAGTTGATCTTCTCTCTACCTTTCCGCAATGTCCAACCCTTCCAAGCTTTAAAGCTTGGTTTTCATCTATTTCCACTCATTTTCTAACGGATCGTCGTTGAGGGCTTCCATTTACCAAAACATAGAGCTCAGTGAGGGTTTCCATTTAATCTAAGTGGATCGTCGTTTTGTCGTCGGCAATTTTTGAGTTGTCTCATTTTCGCTTCATGAAGTAGGGATTTCTTTGCTCATTTTCAATACATCGTTTGTAGATAGACATGTGGTAGATTTTATTGTATTAAAATCATGTATGTTATGGATTTTCAAAATCATGAGTAAAGAGGTTTAGGGTTTGTTTCATGGGAGTTGAAACTGTGTGATTTGTAATTGTTTTGGTTAATTGAGCATGTTTGTGTTGAGAAGGGGAAAAGCCCTAATTTAATATTTATGGCTTAATAAAATGAAAAGGGGTAAAGTTGAGTAATTGTTTTGTTGTGTATTATGTGGATTGAATTACTGTGTAAATTGCTAAAAATGAGTTAACCGAGATGTTAGGATTGTTTTTATTAACATATATTGAATTGGGTTGTGATTTGATATCTATGGATTGGGTTTTGTTAAATGAAGAAAATGGATTTTTGGTTCAGGGTTAGGAGTATTCTGAATTGGGAATAATGGATTTGATATTGAGAACAAAACAATGAATGTAATTCCTTTGTGAAATAGAATGGGGCAATGGTTATTGAAATGTTTTACGATGATATTGATGTTGTAAAAATTTTGGATTTAGTCCATGAGAGTTATTTATTTAACTGTTAAAGATTCTGTCCTTGGTCATCGGTGGAGGATGACATTGTTGTTGTTGTTGAATAGATTATATATATGTATTACAAT